AATATGAGCGCGCGCAGACCAAGCAACGACTACAACAACCCGGCAGGCAACAGAGGGCACACGAGGCCATCAACGGTCCTGTAGCAGGCGCTCCTCCTCCGTGTACACGATGGGCATCCCCAGCAGAGATTACAACAGCCGTGCAGGTGGAAAGGGAGACACAAGGCCGCCGGTAGTCCTCAATTAGTTACGCATTTCTATAATATGAGACCCGCGGCGACACAAAACAAATCTCTGTAAAGTTGCAAAAATTCCCATCAGAGAATTCAGAAGAGAGGTGCGCGAGCATAACTGACTTTCTATAAATTCTCATGGGGCCATTACGTTTATATGGGAATGGAGTAATAGGTGCCCATGCGGGCAAATACTTTCATCTTTAGACTCTTCTATTCACCCTTTTCCATGACTTATTTGCATGTGGTGATGAACGTAATGACCAGCATGTTTAAGTTTTATCCCATCCCATATAAATATAATAGTCCGATGGGAATTCATCGAAAGCCTACGTATGCTCGCCAACTACTCTTCTGATGATGGAAACGAAAATGTTTTTGAAGAGTCAGCGCCAATAAAGTTTGGTCCATAAATGCCAGCGGATATAAACTATCTTATCAAACAAAACAAGAGCCGACTAATTAGACAACAGCCCACAGAACAACATGATTAAGTGTGTTGGGTCATTCCATACAAAAAGCAGAGTCGCTAAAGCAGTCCCTTGACCGTTAAAACGCACAGATGTTGGTATAGCCGATCGATCTCAGGCGACAATACGCCGGCATGTGATACACCGTAAAGACCGAATGCGTAAGTTGTAACGATGGGGGCTGCAATTATGTTGGTGAAACAGGACGAAAATTCCACACACGCCTATATAAGCACAAACTGGCCCAACTCATGGCTTGCGACGCATATTGGAGAGCCTGGCCATAACTTCAATATTCAAGAAGAGACCATCGTAGGCCGAGGCACATAAAAAGCCGAAAGGCTGACGCTTGAGGCATGATACTCAGATCTTAACTCCATCAACAGGTATATGGACCTCCCTGCGGCTTAAAATGTCCTCCGGCATTATGTGAATAAAGGACCGGAAAAGATCAAACTAAAAATAAATAATAAAAGCGACGACGGCCACGAGACGAACCCACCGGATGAGGTAGCACGATTAACAGCAGCCTTTATCGTGGAGACGAAGCACACCACACAGCCTATGCCAAAATCCACATAGGAAAGGGGGTGGCACGAAGACCAAAAAGAAATATCAATCAGCCCACGGCCGAAACTTACAGCCGCACATACCAATTTCTGATCGATGATGACAGTTTACGCCTTCAAAAAGGAAAGCCGTTCCAGCTCTCCAAAATATCAACAAGCATATGAGCTCATTCTTGCGAGCTCTCCAACGATCATTTAACAGTAAATATATTCTGAATGTTCGAGAATATGCGAGGCCCAGGTAACTGAATAGAAGAAGGTAAGACGTTCTCTTGGACCAGGATTGTATTTTTCCGACGTTTCGACTTTTTTTATTGCTCGACAATGAGCTCGCGGGAGGGTTCGAAACGTCGGACAAATACACTCCTGGTTCCAGAGAACGTCTTACCTTTTTTCTATTCAGTTACCTGGGCCTAACAATTTCTCGACCATTCAAAATATGTTCGGTTGCGAATTGCCTAAAGCAGCACGTCGTTGGGAATCCTTCTTCTGTCGACAGGCCTCTACGTACGCTCAACTGAGGTTCATGCATAGGTGCCTGGACTGAAACACTCCGCCGAAATGCCTCTTCTAAAAATATCCTGTCAACACCGAGCTACTTCGATGAACGGACCTGCAAAATGGACGCAAAACGACTCGGGTGCTAATCCAGGACTGTCAACTACGTTTGCGCACGTACAAGGCAGCAATCGAAGACGAACAAGCCAAATGCTTAACAATCCTCGGGGAAGTGTTGACAAATGATCTTAATCAAACCATATCTTTCGACGCCAGACGCAATTGCGATGCACGTGACGCCAAAATGACGCAGCAATTTGCCACATTGAGCGAAAAGAATGCCAAACATTGCCACGCGAATATCGTACATAATCTTTCCTCCAAACAACTGACAGCAGCGCAGACAAGAGTCCTGGGCTATGACGCTTGTTTCAACACCACGGATGCCGACCCGGTCGACTTCATTGCGGCTGCAGAATCTATCATTCGCGAGGCTCCAATTCCCGAAGAAAGCCGAAATATCCTACGACAGCGAGTATCCTCAAGACTGATGTCCCACCAAAAACGCAAGACGCCCTCGAAAACAGAAAGCGAAGCACTATAGACACTAAAGGAGGACAAAAACATTTTCATACTTCCAGCTGACAAAGGAGCGGTCGGCAGTCATTCTAAACAACTGGGATTACGTCAACAAAGTCGAGACCCTTTTGGGCGATAGGACTGCCTACATACCTCGGGAAGGTGGCGCGATGAAGACGCTAATAAGCAGCATCAACAAGTATCTGACAAGCCTCCGGAAGTAAAAAGTCATAACATAGTTTGACTTGCAAAATAAAAAATCAAAGGATTCAGCGCTCCCAAGAGTCTATGGCCTTCCCATGGTCCACAAACCAGGAATCCCCCTACGACCGATCATTTCCCTCAGAGGCACCCCAACATTTGGTCTAGCCAGTTGGTTGTTTTAACGTCTCAAATTTTCTAACCCAGGGCTCTGCAACGACCGTCAGTTCAGCTGAACAGTTCTGAAAAAAGCTACAGGGTATTCAACTAATCCCTGAAGAAGTGATGGTATCTTTCGATGTGACCTCACTTTTCAACTCCATACCGCAACATCTTGCGGTTGAAACCATCAAAACCCTGTTAGAAGAGAAGTACAACGAGACGGACACGAAGCTCAAAATAAAGCATCTCATTTTCCTCCTGAAACACTGCTTGAGCACCTTTTTCACCTTCAATGGAACGGTGTATG